CATACAAATATATTAGGTACATTCGAAATATTATTAGAAGATTAAAATTGAGATTAATTCAGTACAATGATAATAATAAAATAACAAAAATTGAGTAGGTATGTCAAAAATTAAATCAATTATAATAACAAAATAACAAAAAGTTAGTAGGTATGTCAAAAATTAAATCAATTACAATAATAAAATAACAAAAATTAAGTAGGTATGTCAAAAATTAAATCAATTATAATAATAAAATTAAAAAATTAAGTATGTCAAAAAAAATCAAATAGGTATAATAATAAAATAACAAAAATTGAGTATGTCAAAAATTAAATCAATTAAAATTGTCAAGAAATATTGTCATTAAGGAATTCTTCAACTGAGTAATAACATTTGTTTAATAATAGTTTGGTGAGAATACTCTTAAAATTAATTACTGTTGTAGTTTTTATTTCATTGGGAATTTTATTATAAATTCTAGGGGCATTACCAAACAAACTTTTGGACATAAGTGCTGTTTTACATTTTCCTTGGCTTAGCTTATTAATATATTGGGTGCGTTTGGGAACATTCCTGACAGAGCTCAATTTTGGAAATAAGTGGGGATTTTGTTTTACAAACATAGCTGTTTCCAGTATATACATGGAGGGAAATGTTAATATTTTAAGTCTAAATAGAAAAGAGTCCTAATTAAAAAAGAGGGTTTTTGAATCTGAAGAATTATTTTTAACAATTTTTTTTTATAGTTATAATAAACTTATTATAATAAACTTATTTAAAATAAGTTTTTCAGTCTGTTTTCTGTTAAAACATGCGAATATTGCCTGATTCAAAAATGTTTTTTTTAAACGGAAAATGTTAAATCATGTCCGTTTATGTTACACACATCGATATGCATTAAAGTTTATTAAGTTTTATTATAGCCCGGAGATTCATTTAAATATCTTTGTTTTTGGTAAGTGCCTGCATGCTACCAATTATGCCGCCACATAACACAGACAATTATTAATTAACTTTTGGAATTACCCTTGCAAAGGCAAAATCTATAAATCTACCTACCGTACCCTACTTTTAATAGGTATCGTAAATAATACATTACCCGTCAGTGTTCACTCACGCTTGCACTCACTAGACCAAGAAGCCATTATTTTCATTTTCTAAAATAAAACCAGTTTAAACTAGACACGTTATAAATTAAAACGGCGAGTTATAATATTTAATTAATATAAGTTTAGTTTTAATATATTAAGTTTTTTAAGTGCGGGAGAGCCATGCTTCGGCACGAATGGGGCGGCTCGACCGGAGTGATAGAGTGAAAAAACCACAGCATTGTTTTTCGCCGTGTGAGTGAGGTTACCGGAGGCCCAATCCTTACCCTCCCCCAATCCCTAAATCTCCAAATCCCTAATCTCCAAAAGGTCGGCAACGCACTCGTAACTCCTCTGTTGTTTCGGGGTCTGATTGCTTACCATCAGGTTAAAAATCACATAAAAAAAAGTTGTCATAACATTGACTTAAACAATTCCTGGCGGTAATTATACCTACTTAAGCTATTTATTTCTATACAATAAAAGCTTGGGAATATGATATCTTACCGTGGGACTGTACTGCCGACTCTAATCTCTAAATTAAGGAAGTGTTAATTTGTTAGAAGATACTCCAAACGACTTGATTAGACATATTATGAGATGAGAGTTCCGCATCACACTGCAATTACGGCGGGAGATTGAAAACTAATGGACATGATTTTGCACCTGTAGAAGCACATTGAGTTTGTTGTAATTTATAATAATCATTGCGTAATTTATAATTATCTAGGTTTTAATGGAGCAGTGCATATAGTATTTAGAAGTATGAGTCTCTGGTAGTTTCATATTAACTTACCTGAATATTGATTGGATAATTTAGGTAAATAAGTAATTCTGATGTCCTAACGCTTTATTCGACAAAATCAAAAAATGTTTTCTTAAGTAAGTAATAAGACATTTTATAAAAAAAACGTTACTCCACACTAGGATTTTCTCCTGTATCGTGGGTACGTTTACAAACATTATAATTAACATAGACAAGTCACACTGACCCGAAACAACAATTTATGGATCATACAAGGATTTGTTCGGTACGGGAATTGAACCCGTGACACGTTGTACAGCATCCAGTTGCCCAGCCACTGCGCCAACCGTGCGTCTATACATTTAATTCTAATACAATGGGGTGTAACAAGGGCCACTAATTCATTGTTTATAACGTGTGACTGCTTACAACAACTGATCTACATAATTTATATTGTCTTAAAAAGAACTAGTGTAATGAAATGCACTTCTGTGATACATTCATACTCAAGCAGACAACGTCGTAACGAAACCGTTTGAAACGCGGAATCAATTAGTTCCCCGAAACAACTCTTCACGCCCAATAACCAGAGTAAAACCGTTTTAGAAAAAAAACCGTTTAACTGTCTGCATAAAAATTTACATACAAGCAAGTGAGATTATCTTTCATCGTCCGGACGCCAGACGTTTCCGCACGAAGTTCTAAGCCAACGGTCAAACGGATGACCCTAGTGCGTACCAAAAACGATGCTTGACACACTTCGAAAAATGAACAATCCAATACACATCTGTTAGGCGAGAAAATGTACACCTTTTGTATTGACTCAGCAATGTATATTGTTCGATTCATGTTTATACCGGGGCAGTTGGAGCATGAACCGTGATAAAGTGTATAAAATCGACTTACTTTCAACGACGACGCCGCATCACCCGACCTCACGTTCACGGACCAAATGATGTGGTATGGTTCGCTTCATTTACAAAACCGCAACCACACTCATAATCCTCGTCAACTACACTATTCCCATCTTGATACTTTGAAATTCAAACGATCACTTTGAAGCACAGTTGTGTGCAAAGCGAACTGTTAACTGAGATGTAACTTCCCAGACTCCCAGCTGTCCTCATAAAAGCTTTAGCTTATACATAGTCTCAGTAGTTTACTGAATGATATAGGATCAGCTACCTATTCTTAAAATGTTAAATAATAAAGAAAAAGCCCTTCTAATCTGTTTTTAACATATGAATATAAAAACAGTTTACAGACACAATCTTAGAAATCATTAAGAGCTACCACCTGATGCGCTCATCACATAAAAAATTAAATCCAATATTATTTTCTCGACATCCGATGAGCTTTTCCGCGAGATAATCGCGATCAGTTTCGTTGTGGTCGACTTTGATCGCTTCTAAGCTATCATTACACTGATTTCTGGAATTATCTGCGTTTAAGCGATATACACTATCGATACAAGCTAAGACCATCGGCATTAGTTTGCAAAAAATTGTGGCCACGGGTATCTAGCCATCGTTTGCAACACTGTTTTTGTTGTTTTTCTCTCGGAAGATTCAGAAAATGTTGAAAAAATATCCATTAGGTACAGAAGCACTACGAGCACGGCCTAATCACATATACAAATGTATATATTTATATTTCTATATATATAATATATATATAAAATTGAATCGCAAAACACTAACTCAACAAAATCCAGATCATTTTGCTAATTCCTTTTTTTGCTGTCCAGAGATTGTTCTTCTACCTTACAAAATAGTAAAAACAATCTTATAGTAAATTCATACCTACATCGTTGATATAAAATTATATCAATTAATCGAAGTTGACATAAAAGTACGAAAACCTAATTAAGTAGTATTTACATGTAACAATTAATTAACTTGGTTTGCTGGAACGAATGTAGGTCGGAGCGGAACACAGTGTGTTTATTATTGTGACTTATATACCGGCAGACAAGGGACCTATAATTGCTTCACATTCTTAGTTGTTTATAATAATATTACAAAGAGGTAAAAGTAAGTTTGCAAGTTTGTATGTAGGGGGTCATCTTTGGAACCGCTGGTCGGATTGCCAAAATACTTTCACTTATAGATAGCTACAATTGTTCCTGAGTGATTTAAGCTATAAAACATCGCGCTGCGATCAAATGCTAAGAGCTGAGCAGCATGTGTAACTGCGCGAGAGTACCTAACTAGTAAAAGATACCTATACACAAAATATTTAATTAGAATTCTACCCTGCTTGCTGTATTAGAACCTAGAAACCTGAAAATTAATACATTAGTACAAATAAACTTTTTAATAACTAACTGTTATACTACAAATATGAGGTCACAAAATTACTTCTCTTCAAGATAAAGATTAAAATAAGTAGGTAACTAAATACACGAAATCCACCACCTATGTCGATAATTTTTTTCTCTGACTCGTCTACAAGCAATCAGAAAGGTTTATTGATATATTTAACAATAGCTTCACTACAGGACTACATATTGCGATAGCCATCTGATACACGGAGTTTGTACTACCGAGTCCCACATAGATCTGTTAAAGATTAGCTTCAGAGTGTTAGTGAACAATGTGAAAGGAAATTCATGTATGTGTCTAACAATACCTACATTCAATTAACCTCCTAATTGTTTGATGGCGTGTTCGTCTACCTTCCTACAAATTGAATGCTCATTGTTACAGTTCCGAGCAGCATTCGCACAAGACTACGATGGTACGTATTCACCGTTATTCATTCTTTTATATGTTTTATTGTATTACAAATGATTCTTCAACATTTTGTGTCAAGGTCTCCGATTCGGTATGAGGTCCAAATACTAAATCCTTTACCAAAATAGATGAGAAAATTGTCTTAATCTAAGACAGCTTTTGAGTTAATAAACAATGACACTTCATAGATATGTATAGTTAACAGGTAGCCATAAACTAACAAGAACAAAAGACGCATCTGAGCGTAGACAAGTAATAACTAACTCAACTGTGCGTAGTGGCAAAGAACTATAATTATCTCAATAACGAAAACTCATAATCGGAAGTGGTAAACTGTAAACGAAAGAGGAAACCTTTGCTTTCAACGATCTTGAACAAATGGAATAATTGAGTGCACAGTTGGCCCAGTAGCTGGACGGTAGACCGTAGCCCAAAATACCTACCGTATCTATGGCCGTAGCGGAGGATCCTGACACGAAAAATGTCCCCCTATTAAGTAGTAGATTTTAGTTAAAACTTTGACTAACTTTATTTGATCAACAATAACAACATCTTCCACCCACCCAAAGTAAATTGCAATTATTATTATCTATTTCAGTGACGGATATTCAGTGCACATTTGCGAGCGGAGGCACAGGCTTAAGGGACTCTGTTGCAGCTTTATTAAGGAAACCAGAAGGGTTCCGAGGGGCACCCTTATTCGCTGACGACCGAGCCACGGATCCTGTCACAGATCCTGTTTGTCAAATAAGACCTGAACCTGAAGATCCGACAGGATTACTCTATAGGCTACGAATCACTGATTTCACAAGATGTGGCGTACTCAAACGGAATGTAAGTTTTTTCGAAAACGTCAATGTTGCCATTGCATTCACTTCCTTACTCAGCATGATCAAAAGATACTCTTAACTTGTCGGATCTTTTCCAATTTTAAATTTCGATTTTTTTTAAAGTAGTTTCTTAAAGTAATGGTGTGTTTTATTATTATTTTTACATTTCATTATATTTACCGAATGCTGTTTGTTTTATGTATCTTTTGAGCCTCTAGTGCTGGTAGGCCCTTGATATGTTCGGGGTTGCGACTCATGGTAAGTGTAAGGGCATGAACCCTTACAGTTAATGTTGGATGTTAATAAAATAAATGTTAATGTTTAAAAAGGTATTTTAATACGAAAATGCACTAAAATAAAAAGAAATTAATTAAAAATGTTATAAAAAATGTTAAAATGTTAAATGTTGCGCGAGCTCGATATTATACCGAAGACTGGCCTACTTGAGTACGTGACTATCTTATATTTTATTATAAATTAACATAATTTGCAGTATTCTAACTAGGCCAAATCAAAGTACAATGTGCGGTTGCTTAACCGTACATCTTGGCGGGGCAAAAAATTAAGAAAACTTATAAAATATCCTATCAATGTAAATAAATTCATGTAAAACAAAATGTAAATAAAATTATAAAAATGTAAATAAAGTTATATGTTAAAAGAATGAGGTGTCGCGTAGGTAGATGCTGTAGCTCTTGGTGGTTTTTGGGGCGGTGATCTGATTGGCGTGTCGGCGGCGCTGACGGCGAGCTTGCCGCAGCGTTTGTAGTACACGTAGGCTCCTCCCGCGACGAATATGGACAGGATCAGAAGTCCCATCGTAGAGTACGAAACGATGTATTGATGGACATCGTGTTGCGACATTTCAGTCTGTTTGGTCTGATCTTCTAATTCTTTTAACGAATTATGAAGTTTTTCATAATCGTTTTTCACAAAATGCGTGTTATGTTGGCTTGTTGATAAGTCAAGCGGTTGTATCGATGTTAAATTGTTGATGTCCAGGTCTATCAATGGTATTTCCGGGTTGACATAAATTTTGTTCGTGTAATAAACTTGTGTGTAATATGTTTCTTCATTATTTCTAATTATGCATCCTTTTTTGGCTTCTAAAATTCCCGTTGACCGTATTGCCTTAGTGGTCATACGACCTTCACAGATGATCTGCAGTTGACAATCCGTGCAGCAGACATAGAGCCAGGTATTTGGTTTTTGTAATGTTATCCATTTGTTGTTGCACGACTCGGATGTGTAGATACATTTTGATAATGTAATATTTGTTATTGCGCCGATTTCGCATGGAATTTGATGATTTCGCATGTTGCGTGTTGGTTTGTTCAGTGAGCATACATATGTCCTTGGTTCTATTTTAATACAATGTTCCAGGTCACTGTTTGTTAGCTGCATGTATGTCTCTTTTCTCACATTTACTGCAACATATTCTGAGTTAGTTTTCATTGTAATTGACTGGTTGTTATTTTTGATCATAGGAATGGGAATTGTTTTATATATAGTGAATGGGGTGTCGCCCGTTAGTGGTAATGTTATTTCGATGATGAAATACTTATCAAATAATCTAGATTTTACTTCAAGTAGTTTGTAAATATCGGCTAATTGGTTTTGAATGTTGTCAACGGGTAGCGATAATTGTTGTGGCAATTGTCCAGATATAATGTTAAGCTCCTGAAAGAGTTGGTTCTGCGGTAAAAGTCTGGTGTCTACATGACCATGGTGAATGTTAATAGCTGTGTCTAACAGCATCTGTTGTATGTGGCGGAGTTTGGACAGAATTGTTGAACTTGTCAGAGCCATGATGTTAAAGTAGTTCAGCGCTTCGTCTTGTTGAACAGCTTCGTTCAATTTCTTTAGATAGTTCTCTGTTGCATTAAGGTGTTGCTCTAATAGATTGAACTGAGAGTTCATTGCTTCTTCGTTTCTCTTTAAAATGTTATTGTGTGCCTCAATTATTGAGGTTTGACTTTTGATCAGATTTAATAAATGGTCTCTGTTGTTATGTAATGTTTCTATGTCCTTTTTATATTGTGTTGCGAACCTTTCATCTAGCACGCCGAATAGGCTGTTTGCAAGGTAACCTACTCCATCGACGAGGCCTCGGGTAACGCGCCCCCTGGTTTGCCCATGATGAGTTTCTAACATGTAGTTGTTATGATCTAGTTCATTGAGTTCCTGTTCGAATTCAGTCATAATTGTTTTGCACAGCGTTTGGTAAGCAAATTGCTCACATCTTTCTCCTAGGTGTTTCACAACTCTATGTATATTTTCCATGCCTTGCCAGTAAGTTGTCATGTTATAATAAGTTACTATCTTCCAGTCATCATGTACGGTTTGCAAATTGCCGATTTTGTCAAAATACACCCCTCTATTTGGTTCAAACGGCGTGACGTTTATGCCGTCACTGCTCTGCCTTGTGGGCTGAAATAATGTTAGCAATGTTACGAGGATACATAGCAGGCTGGAACTTATCTTGCTTGATTTAAAACGTTGTTTAGTATTATTTGTTACAGCCTTTTGTGGTTCACTGCAGCTTTTGTCATTGGAGGTGGTGGTGTCAGGTACTTCTATAGGAGAATTTGGTACTGGGAGTTTCACTAATTTTGTTATTGGTCTTGTTAGTAGTCCTGTTTTAGTTTTTAACGTCACTACTCTGACCAGATTGTCCTTCCCAGGGTGAACTTCCTGTATTCTGCCAAGTGCCCATTTCGCAGGAGGAAGGCAGTCTTCTTTAATTAAGACAATATCCCCTATTGATAAATTATTTGTTTTGTTAAGCCATTTACTACGAACTTGAAGTTGTTGCAGGTATTCTGATGACCATTTGCTCCAAAACCCTTGTTTCATTTTGTCTAACAACTGCCACCTATGTCGAATGTTGATGTTTTTATTTTCGATATTTTCCGTAGGTAAGAATGTTAAAGGTCGGCCAATTAAAAAATGTGCAGGTGTAAGGTAATCAATATCGTCTACATCCTCTGTTAAGGGGCAAAGTGGTCTAGAGTTCATACAGGCTTCTATTTGCGTAAGAAGTGTTAGAAACTCTTCGTATGTCAACTTTTGCTCTCCTAGGACACGCTTTAGGTGATATTTCATAGACTTAACTGCAGCCTCCCAAAGTCCTCCCGCAGTCGGCCAGCTTGGGGCGTTGAAATGCCACTCTATCCCCATCTCGTTACACTTTTTCGATAAGGTGTCGTTGTTAAATGTTTGGGATATATGCAGTTGTTTGGCTAACTCCCTTTCGGCTCCAACAAAGTTTGTTCCGTTGTCCGAATAAATATGTTTTGGACAGCCTCGTCGCCCAATCATGCGGTTGAGAGCCAGTATAAATGTTTGCGATGATAAATCTGATGCAAGTTCTAAATGCACCGCCTTTGTTGTCATGCACACGAATACAACGACGTAACCTTTACTCGTTCTGACGCCCCGGCCCTTGTTTAATTTAACATTAACAAACCCTGTGAAGTCCACACCTGTGTGATAGAATGGTGGTGATTGTGTTATTCTCTCCCTGGGTAGGTCAGCCATTAATTGGTATTGTTTGGTTGGTTTGAAGCGACAACATTTAACACAGTCTTGCAGGTATTTTTTCACAGTGTTATTTCCTCCTGTGATCCAGTATTTCTGTCTCAATGTAGCCGTAGTTAGTCTCGCTCCACCATGTAGTGTTGTAGCATGCGCACGGGCAACTAAAAGATACGCCAGTTTGCTGTTTTTTGGGATGATAGCTGGGTGTTTTGTTTCTTCTGGTAAGTTTGAATTCTGTAGTCTCCCTCCGACCCGTAATATGTTATTTTTATCCAGGTAAGGGTACAGTTTCTGGAGTCCTATATTTTTGCTTATCCTTCCTTTAGTCTTTAATTCATGGATTTCTTGTTCGTAATATTCGTTTTGTACATGTTTTATTATTATGTTAGTAGCGCATCGAATATCAGAGAGTGTTAAATTACATTGTTTTGACGCGGCCGGGTCATTCATGTTTGGATGATCCATAGCTGCGTCTTCCCCGTGCCGACGGCCTTGCGACGTGATTGTTATGAAACGCGACACCCAAGCTACGATGCGTATTATAGTCATAATACAGCTGTTTTTGTTAAGTAGTTCAGTTACAAAGTTAATGTTTTTGTTTTCGGTAGTTTGTAACGTAACTGCATGCACCCTTTTTAGTTCTATTTCAGGCATCTTTATCGTGTCATGTGTTTCAGGAATGGTTTCACTGTTAAGCCATTCAGGTCCATTAAACCACAGAGGAAAGTTGTGCAACTGAGACGGCAGTAGTCCACGTGACGCACAGTCAGCCGGGTTTTGTTCCGATCTCACGTGCTTCCAACTCCCTGCGGGCACTACAGATATGATCTCTTGAACTCTGTGTCCGACGTAGGCTTTCCATCGCGAGACATCTCCCTTTAGCCAGCCAAGTACGATCATCGAGTCCGTCCAAGCTGTTACTTTAATGTTAGGCTTATCAAAGCAAAGTTTTATTTTATTTACCAGTTGAGCTAACAGGTGAGCGCCGCATAACTCAAGTCTGGGGAGTGTTTGATGTTTTTGTATTGGAGCGACCTTTGTTTTTGCCGCAACCAATGCAATCTGTTGCTGTTTTCCTTCAGTAATCTTACTGTATACTACGCACGAGAACGCTTTTTCTGATGCGTCACAAAATGCGTGTAATTCACAATTCTTGTTCGCTCTTAATCCAAGCCATCGGTTAATTTTGAAAGGTTGCATGTTTGTTAATTCTGTTTTTAATGTTCTCCATTCCTTTTCTATTTCATCTGGAACAGTATCATCCCATTCGATTTTGTACTTCCAGATCTGTTGGAATAAGATTTTTGCCTTGATTGTAATTGGCGATAATAACCCCAATGGATCAAAAATTGTTGATATGTCGCTTAAGATTTGCCGTTTGGACGACTTGTTGTTGGTTTCCGACTCGGTTTTGTTTTTTAGTGTGGTTGAAAATATAAATTCATCTTGTTTCGGATTCCATGCCAAGCCTAATGTTTTAGACGCTGATGCCTCAGTAAAGGTTAAACTGACTGGACTAATCATATGTTCTGGCAGATCTTCTAGCAGTTGACGTTCGTTACTCGACCATTTTCTGAGATTGAACCCTCCTTCCTTTAATAACTGTATAAGTTGGTCTCTTGTATCTCGGACCTCGTCCATGGTATCCTTTCCGAATAACGCATCATCTACAAAAAATTGGTTGAGTAGGATGTTTTTAGCCTCCGGGTACCTGTCACCTTCGTCCTTTGCTAGCTGTTGAAGTGTTCGG